TCTAAACTAATCACGCTTTTTCTGCGAGCTTCAATTTCCTTTTGAAATCCAACAAAAGAAAATCATCTAACTTTCCACAATTTTTCCAAAGACGAAAAATATCATAAAATTACACACTTGATTCTTATCTTCACAAAACTTTCAATCAAAATGAATCAATTGACACATTTTGGGAAGTAGAGACAATAGCCAAACTGGGAAAGGTGAATGATGGAGAAAGAGGAAGACAGAATAAAGTTGATGAGAGACATGGGAGAAGGAAAATGAAAAGGAGAAGGAGAGGAAGAGAGTACTAAAGGCACAAAGCCAACGACAGAAAGGGGGGTGGTAAGAGTGGCAAGGAAAGGAGAGGAAAGAGAAGAGAGGGGTGAAGAGACAGATGGACAGAGACAGAGAAAAAAAAGGGAAGGAGAGACAGAGAGAGAGAGTGAGAGACAGTGAGAGCAGGTACAAACAGAAGAGGGGAGAGAAGAGAGACAACAGACGGACGGACGGACCTACAGACAGCGGAAAGGAGAGAGAAGAGAGAGATAGTGAGAGAACAACACCAGGACAGAGAGAGAAGAGGAGGGAGAGAAAACAGAGACAGAGGAGGGGAGAGAGAAAGCGATCGAGAGGAGAGCAAAAAGGGAAACGGAGGGACACAATAAGAAAGAGAATCCATGGGAGCCATATATAAATATGAGAGAGAGAGAGAGAGAGAGAGAGAGAGAGAGAGAGAGAAGAGAGAGAGAGAGGAGAGAAGAGAGAGAGAGAGAGAACGAGAGAGAGAGAGAGAAGGGAGGGAGGGCGGGAGGGGGCACCTTCCACACTGCCAACAAGGCTGTGAGTAATCTTGCTGGTAATTACGAAGGTCAGAGGCGCAAGTTCTACCCAAGCGCAACACGCAGGTTCTGCACACGGGCTGAGCCGCAGAAACGTCAGAGCTTTTGGCACGTTTGGATTATTGGTACAACCTGCACTCTCGTTCCGGCTTCAAATTATGAGATCAGGCGGAGGTCCTGCTGGTCTCGGGTGCTGTGAGTTTGGTTTGGCTTGGTTCTAATATCGTCGAATGGAAAAGGGTAATGTGGGTGTATATGTGTGTATATGTATATTTTATACGAGTGTGTGTGTGTGTGTGTGTGTATGTGTGAGCGTGTATGTGTGTGTGTGTTGTTTGTGTGTGTGTGTGTGTGTGTGTGTGTGTGTGTGTGTGTGTGTTTGTGTGTGAGAATGTGTGTGTGCATTTATACTTATAT